CCGGCGCGTGACTCGCGCATGCACACCGGCCACACCAACGCCAGATGCCCTGCCAGGAGGAGGAGGAGCCCATGCCCAATGCCCGCGCCGGCGAGCCTGGTGAGGAACGCCCCCCCCCCCCCCCCGGTGCCCCTTGGAGAATAGGGGTGAATAGCAGGGAATGAACTGTTGAACATACGCCTCAGCCGATTCAGAGGGAGGTTAAGCGGGCCAAATGCAGCTGATGTATGGCTAAAAATAGCCATACAGGGCTGCAGTGAATAGCTGAACAGGCTTCGGCTCACTTCCCTTTGGTTCGGGTACCCATTTGCTTGGCTGCATTCAGCAATTCATTTTTTTCTGCTCGGCCCCTTGGAGAATAGGGGTGAATAGCAGGGAATGAACTGTTGAACATACGCCTCAGCCGATTCAGAGGGAGGTTAAGCGGGCCAAATGCAGCTGATGTATGGCTAAAAATAGCCATACAGGGCTGCAGTGAATAGCTGAACAGGCTTCGGCTCACTTCACTTTGGTTCGGTTACTCATTTGGCTGTCTTTGGTGAATATTATCATAGCAAATTTGCTTGGACTGGGTACATAAAAGAAGCAAAGGTACATTAAAAGTGTACTTAAGTGAACAAAAACAAAATGATACCAGTCCTTAGATGTGTCGGCTGCATTAGTCTTTTTTTCAAGCTTCCTTTTTCTTTATTTTCACCTAGTGGTCCTGCCAGTAACACATTTTTCACCATTTCCTAGGATGACAACGTGTTTTTCTTTAGCATTATATCCTCAAAAAATGAAAAATGTTTAGATGCATCAATAACTTGCATGCATAAGCTCTAACATATATATATACAGGTGAAACTCGAATAATTAGAATATCGTGCAAAAGTAATTGCAGTAAGTGCTGCAAAAGGGGCCCAAACCAAGTACTGAGTACATATGCATGCTTGTACTTTTCAGAGGTCCGATATTGTTTTATTTTTATTTTATTGATTGCATGTAATAATCTACTTTTTGAGGTTGTGGATTTGGGGTTCTTGGGGTTTTCATGAGCTGTAAGCCCTAATCATCACAATTATGACAAATCACGGCTTGAATTATCTTGCTTTGCATGTAATGAGTCTATTTCATATATTAGTTTCACCTTTTAAGTTGCATTAGTGAAATAAATGAACTTTGCACGGTATTCTAATTATTCGAGTTTCACCTGTATATATATATAATTTTTTTTTAATTTAATGGCAAATAGTAGAACTGAGTCACACCAGACAATTTTTCTTTTCAAACTATATTACAATAATGTTAATATGAATCACAAATCTTCTCCTATTTTTCAGCCATGTGCTAATGAATCTTTCCTAGTAACAGCTGAAATGAAAAAATGTGCCTATAGTGAAACTGCCACTTGTCTAACAAGGGTTTTCCTGATTCTGAATAACGCTACTTATGTAAGTATTTATAGTTTTAAAATGTTGTCTTTCTAGGCTCTATTCACAAATGTTTGAAGCCAAATTCAATCTTTCATTCCCTTCCCCCTATTGGGGCTCCCTAAAAATACCATAAATACCTTTCTCCAGTCTTCTGGCAGGTTAAATAAGTCCAAGGTTCTCTTCCTCTTCTCCAGCAGTGAGTGGTTCTTAATGATGCATAGAACAGAACTGATCTTATAATGTGAATACCATTCTCTGCATCATGGTAGGCATAGTTATGCATCCCCAGGGAGTTCGTCCATGATTCCCTGGGTTCAAAGGAAGTGGGTTGAATGATCTTGGGCATAAACTAGATTAAAAACCAGGACGTCAGTTAAAAAAAAATTAAGAAAAAGAGGAATCTGAAAGCTGTCAACAGAATAGGTGTCCCCATTGGGGGATTTCCCCTCTACTCCACTTTATATTTTTGGATTCACATCACTTAGGCCTCATTTAGACTTTGCATTTTGGGATTCCTGCGGCCAGAACCTACAGATTCCTGAAGCAGGAATCCCAAATCGCCCATTAAGATACATCCACTGTCACCCATTTAAGTTAATGATAGCAGCTCCAGGTGACAGCAGCTGCATCTGTAAACAGCTGTCCATATGTAATTGTATGTTTGGAGTATATCACTATCACTAGACACATTAATTGTGCACCTAGGGATAGTGATCTATTCCAAACAACAAGATTGTATCACTTACGATTACATGCAGAGTGCTGCTTGTAGATGCGGCCACTGTCTCCCGATCATTAACTTGAATGGGTGACAGCGGCCGCAACGAAACTTGACATTTGGGTTTCCTGCCCCAGGAAGCCATGGGTTCCTGCCACAGGGATCCCAAAACACAAAGTGTGAATGTAGCACTCCAGTTACAATGATCACTAGTACAACTTTTGAGGATGAAAAGGATCCAAAGAATTCTAAAATGATGACAGAGGTGATACCCCTTCCTCACTCTATCCAAAAGTAGAAAACATGTTTGCCTGCAGTCCCACCTTAAATATCTGTCTGTACACCTTTATGTTCATGAGATAGAGGAAACATTGTGAAGTATAATTAGAAAGGATATCAAGAATGTGTGGGCCATGGCATTCAATGCTTATGTGTACAATTTTTTTTTTAGGTATTTCAGATCAATTATGATAACAGTGATTTTCCTCATGTAACATATGAAAAGGAAGTCATGGCTAAAGGTATTGTGACTTACAAATGTATTATATATAATGCAGTTTGATTTTGAAGCCCCAAATGCAGAACCTAATCCAAATCTTTCCTACTCGGCAAGTCAGAAAAGCGAAGAAAGGATGACAGCTCCCAGAAAGGATAAGAATGACAGAAAGGATATGCGAGCAGGCTCCCATAATTCTGGGACTTCATAACAGATATCTCTGCTGTAGGACAAAGACAGAAGGGCACTTAGCAGTTTTCCACGTTTGATTGTTGTGGTCTGTGTAGCCATTAAAGACATTTTCCATCACTTCTGGGCTCTATAACAGCCTGACAAGTAGCAAGCAGAAATTCCCCAAATGGGTGCACAGGCAGATTCTTGTTTTCTGAGTAAACTCCCTTCTCCCATTAATTATTCATTGTATTCCTTTGTGCAGACAAGGACAGTTTGCACTCAACACATTTTAATTCAACTTTGTTATATGTGTTTTCTCTTTTTATGCAGCTGGAGTCCAAATTTGCTGGGCATCCTCATTCTACATGATTGTGCATACCAACCTGGGCATCTACCTGGAGGTGCAGCTCACACCAATCATGCAACTGTATATTATTATTGACCCAGCTTACAAGGAGAAAATGTGTGGTAATCAACAATCATTGCAATGAAAATCTGAACACTACTCTAATATTATGTAAACTAAATCTGTTGCTGTGTTCATTCCAAGCAAGTACCAGATTCTCTTTGTAACCCACCTTCCTAGTTATTAATACCTACACCATATTCTATGACACCCAGTTCTCCATTTGGAGCCATTGCAAATGCCCAGTACTTTATGGTATGGGGGGCATGTGATATTCTCTCCTTACTTCTACATTACAGTGCATGGGTCCTAAATTTGGCCAATCACCAGGCCCAAGCACTGTCCAATGGACAAGGGATAAAGGTGCTTAGCCCTGTGTAAAAAAGCTTTCTACTTAGGGCTTCAGTGGTTAACTGGGAATATGAATATTAGTAGCAGAAGAGTTGGAGTATAAAGAGAAGCCATGTTACCTTAAATGGACAAAGTGACAGGTTCGCTTAAAGGGATTATTCAATCAAAAGCACAAATGTTGCAACCAACTTGTTAAAGTCAACCTTTACTGAATTAAAAACAGGGGCATGCTCTTGCTGACCACCTTCTAAGAATACTAGTTGCCAGGCTGGTTCTGACTTCAATAGTGCATGTGCCACTGACCTGAAAAAAACAAACATGTACAGGGTTATTCACAAAAGGGTGAAGAGTTTGGGAAAGGCAGGAGAAGTGAACAACCTAGGACAACATAGCTGATTTGGAAAAATTGTATAATTCAGCTCACTTTCCAGGTCAGCTATATTGTCCTAGATTGTTCACTTCTTCTGTCTTTTCCAAACTCTTTACCCTTTTGTGAACAAACCTTGTAGTTTATAAAGTCATATTTACATAGTTATACAGCATCAACAATCTGTAGTGGTAATTCTTCTCCTGTAGAAGGCTATTCTGAATGAAATCAGAAATATTGATCTGAATATTTGTTCTCCGTCAGTAACCTTTATAGTAGTTAAGCTTTTGGATCAACATTATCATCACTTTTAGAAGATGAGGTCATATGCTGTCAGTATAGGTTTTCTTTAAGATTAATACTAAAGACAGAGCTATGTGAGTTTGATAGAACTTCTTTCCCAATGTGTCTGTAATATCCCTTTTCAAAAGCATACAGACACACGTGTTTATTTCCTGTTCATCCCTGAAATAGGAAATTATATTAATGCATAAACCGTTTGTTTCTCTTTGCTTTCATCTTTGTAAATTACGGTTTTCAAATATCATGCTAATGACTAAAGTAGTGCAACAATTTTTATAGCAAGGGGCATGGCTCAGCGAGTAGTGTGCAAGATTCTGAGCAACTGGGACTGTGGCATATTACTGACATATTTCTTTTATCCACGTGTCTATCATGACAGCATGCTCATGTATTAGAAGATCTCATACTTTCCTTGACGAGGGTGATTGAGCCAACAAATAGGACAGAAGCATATGGAAATAATTTTTCACTAAAATGGGCAGCCGGCATCTAAATCAAACAACTCAAGACATGACACTGCCCCTTCATGGAGTTTCATGTATGACACAGCAGTTAGCATGAGCTCAGACACTGGTGGAGACAACATGCAGATAGTTGCATTGTTCCTCTGCCCTCCGCAGCCCTGTACCAAAGTAAGCTCTGTGATGTAGAACCCTCCATTCAATACAGAGAACAACTGAAAGCCGTCGTCTTCCCATGTATGACAGAGTAAAATGTATTTGAAATTAATCTATACTATGCCCTTGGGGGGCAAAAAAAACAAGTTCACAAAACGGATTGCCAACCACCACCCTATACTCACCTTCCCATTACTTCCCTGTTTATTTTATCACTTGTAGGAGTAAAGCGAATTCTCGGGTAAGCTTCAAGCTGATCTGCAAAGCAATGGGCTCTAGCAACCCCCATCTCTAGACAGCTTTCAGGTCTGGCAACTGGCTGCTCAGTCACCCAGTGTTGCATTGTGGGAGCAGCATTGGGGAAAATGGAAAATGAGTATAAGAATGAAGTGGCTGACAATTGAGTGCAGCTATTGGTTCATGCTGCATATGCACAGTAGAGTTAATTGTATGACTGGGGCTTCACTGACAACTATGCATTACTTTTTATTTCGTAATGTGTAGGGGCATTTTACCATGCTAACAGTAGAACAATGCTCTTAGTCAGTGATATTGCAGGTAGCAGTAGAAAAGTTGGAATCCCCTAGTTTTTAAACTGGCAACTACAATAAGTTAAGGAATATTGAAAGATAAGTTAAGAAATATTGAACATCTGATCAAAACCATGACAACTCGCACTAGATTGCATACAGTTAAAATTAATTATCACTTGACTGCACTAATTTTGGTAAATAATTTAACTTAAAAATCACCCCTGTAACTTTAGTATAAAAAGTTATATTAGTTATAGAAATTTAACAAATGTTCATATACTGGAGCTCCTTAGCACCTGCTGAAACCTTTTTTTCTTTTTTTAATCCAAAGTATTGACATCAAATACCCTCAGCAACAATTCCGTTTGGCTTAGCACTGCTTCAGAAATCAACCACATATCCAGTTTGAATGCACCTGACATAGTATTTTAACAAAGGAGCATCCTTTATGTTTTGTAGCCACAATGTACACATATATATATATCCCACCGTGTGCGCTATCATATGCTTATTTGATCTGCATATTTATTAAGGTCTTTGTGGGAATTACAACAGTATCCAGAAAGATGACTTCAAAACAAGCAGCGGAACATTAAAAACCAATTTTGTTGACTTTGCCAATTCATGGAAGACCCAGTATCAGTGCATAAATGTGGTACCTGAATATAGACACCCCTGCATGTATGGCATGGAAACAGGTAATATTTTATTTTCTTTACATAGAAGTACACACAACAGCAAAGGTTTTTAAAAACATGGACATGTAATCAGCTAATCAATGTAGTATGACTTGAATTGTATAGCAATATTGAATAAGGAAATACTAAAAATGATGCAATGAATAAGCACTTTTGTTTCATAAGTTATAAATAATGTAATTTTGTAAAATATAAGCATAATCATAGCGCCTATTTTTTTTTTCTCTCTTCTTTTATATAACAGAAAAGTATGCTCACCACTGGTGTCAAGTATTACTTGATGAAGAAGGTCCTTTTGCTCCATGTCATATTTCAGTCAGCCCCAGAGACTACTATCAGGTAGTTTTGAGATTTTTTAAATTATAATTTATCATGTTAAGAAAAGTTGAATGTTAATTCTAAGGGAAGCCCATTTATCTATTTTGATTATCAATTAGTATGTATATTGTTTCCTCAAACTACCACAGAAAATATAACCACACAGTGCTAAGTGTTAATTAAGAGTATTTTACTGACCATTCCATGGCAGCATATGGGTGGGCAAAGACTACTCACTCATATGCCACCATGGAGAAGATAGTCAAGAAAGGAAAATTATAGTAAGTATGGATATAAATTTTCCTTTTTCATGGTGGCATATGAGTCGGTAGTCTCTGGAGATAGTCAGGAAAGGAAAATTTGCAGAAAGTATGGATATTAATATTCCCTATTGTGACCCCACCAGAAATGTGTAGCGTGAAGTATAATAGAGCTTGGCGTTAGATATAAACGAAAATGGCTGATTGTCACTTTGTCAAAAGGGGAACATAATTAAAGTGACATGAAACTCAGGCGTTGAATCTTAAAAATGCATTCAAGCACCTTAACTAGTAACAAACATTTGATTATTTGTTTATCATTCAGCTGTAGCTCCTCAAATCATGGCTGAATTTCTGCTGACACTGTCCTGCCTTCTGGAGGGTGGCTACTTTTGTTCATCATGGTCCCTGTGTGTGTTGTAAAGTAGCCATCACTCCAAGCTTACTCCTTTGATAGACTACAGTCTCACATTTAGTTTACTTATTGTATTGAGATAGTAGTCCATCACGGGAGTGAGATTGGAGCAGTGGATACTTTACAGTACACACAGGGACCATGGGGAACAAAAGTAGCCTCCCTCCAGAAGGAAGGATGGTGTCAGCACCAATTCTGAGATGATTTGAGGATCCACAACTGAGTGATGCACAAATAAGCTCAATTTTTGTTAATAGTTAAGGTACTTAAATGCATTTTTAAGGTTTAACTCCTGAGTTTAGTGTCACTTTAAGACAGTGTTTTAATCTACAATAGGCTTTAAATGAGTAGTTTCTTTTTGTGATTTGAGGTTTTTGCTTTTGTTTTTTATGCATTTTATTTGGTAAATTTTTGAGAAAGAGAAGAAGGCATGCAAGTGGTAACCTTTTTTTCTTCCCTTATTTTTGTGTGTTTTATTGAGATTTGTGTTTAAAAATTTCAAAAAGCAATAAAATATGCAACTTATTAACAGCAGGCCAGCTGTGGCCTACTCCTTGTTATCATCCACTCTACGCTTGGCTGCACCTTCACAGTATGCCCTCCACAACTTTCAATGGGGCGGATGCCTAAGTGTTTCCAAACTGGGTAGATGAGGTCTTACTGCAGTGAGGAGGATTTCAGCTAAGCAGGGTGAAAACAAAGCTATGACTTACAGCAGACCACAGCCATTCTATTGCGATATCAGCTGTAGCGATTGTAGCTTGACACAAAGTACAATGGTCCTTTAAGAGATGTGCTGAGTTGTCCTTCCTAAGGTTAATCACATTCATCACATATTTGTATTCCTGTAAAACCATTTTTACTTATTGTTATCAACATTTCACTTTTAGAATTGCCTCTTTGATACTTGCTCTTGTAAAAGGGCAGAGGATTGTCTATGTGCTGCCCTTTCCTCCTATGCATGGGCATGTGCTGTGTCTGGTATCATACTAACTGGATGGAGAGAAAATGTCTGCAGTAAGTGACCAAACTGCATTATGCTATATAACAATATTTCAAAATTTGACTCTTCTCTACATGGCAAACATATAGCTGACATCTTGATATCCTACCTTTTAAAAAGGAAATAATTGTGCCACTTTTGTGTATTACCATCATTTTGTATAGCATAGCATTGTACAGTATTTACTACATAAAAAC